GCGGGCGGGAGGGCGGGCGGGCGGATCCGGGGAGCGGCGCGGCCGTGACCTCAGAGAGTTGGAATGCGGGCGGCGGGGCGCGGGGGAGGCGCGGACAGCTGCGCCCGACCGCCGGGGAGGGGGCGCGCCGCGGCTTTTTTTAATCTTGTGACCACTTATTTTAAGAGTTTCCAAATAAAGCAGGGCTTTTAATAAAAATGAGGGGAGGGGGCTCTTAGCTCCGGGCCGGGGGAAGGGTTGTGTTCCTGCCCGGGGATTAGGTGGTGAGTGTAGAACGCTGCGCAGCGGAGTCCATGCCCGCACGTTTCTTCACCGCGATTCGGATGCTGCGCTCTTCGTGTGGGGCTCGCTCCACAGGATGAAGGGGATTCGTGCAACTGACCCCTGGTCAGCCCCGGTGGGGAAGGACCCCTCCCACGAGGTAGTTGGAAAGCCTCACGTAACCGGTGATCGACCCCAAAGTGTGGTACGCGAATGCAGCACAGACTAGAGCTGTCAGGGTGCTGCTCAGCTGGTTGTTTCAAATGCTGCAACACTCACTAGCTGGGTTGGGTAACTTTGTACAAATTGTTTAGCCCCTTTGTACGCGTTTTCTGTACAATGAGAAACAGTAACTAGCCAGTTAACTAGGGTAAAGTCCTAGAATGACTTCACTTAATTCTAGGCCCTGTAGTAATTCTCCCCATTATGTTGTTCTGGGTGTTTTTGGTTTGCTTTGCTTTTTATTCAACTACATTATTGCAACACATAAAGTGAAGAAAACCTCATGACCCTACCACCATTACTAAGGTAATGATTGATCTCTACTTGTCAGGTAGTTTGAGCAATTGGAGCAGAGTATTTATGCAAACTTTAATTTCAGTGATTTTGTTTCAATGCCATTGATTCTGGGAAAGCTTGTCAGTGTTTCGTTTAAATCTCACTTTCCACAACAGTTATCAAACGTTTATTGAGTACTTATTGGGCGTGAGACACAATCCTTGTGCACAAGGACTTGTGGGGTGTGTGATAAACATGTTGTATGCAGAGCAAGGCATGAGTTGGGCCACTGTTGGGCGCCTGGGTCTTACAGGAGAAAAGGCCCAGCAAGATCCACCTTGGATTGTGTAGTTGGCTGCAAAACTACATGTATCGCTTATGGGAAAAAATAGGTCGATTCTTTTTATAATGGATCTTTCAGTGGCCCCACGAGGGCCTCAGTTTGTATATAAGGAAAGAAAACAAGACCTGAAAATGAGTCACTGTTCTGGTCTACTGGCTAGAAATACTGGAATCATGTATGACAGGTCTGCCTGGGTCAGATCCAGTTGTCACCCTGATTTGTTATGTCCTTTGAAATATCTCAGGAACTCCTTTATCTGTTCCCCAGGTGCATGGTAATCCAAACCATTAACATTGTGCATCCTGACTACTGGGGGGGCGGGGCTTTTGCAGCTGGTTCTTTGGCACTCTTTTCCCTATTACTGCTGGCTCCCCTCTTTCTTGGGTTCATCACTGTCCGTAGTGGACTCCCAGGGTCAGGCTTAACTGCCCTACCCTTAGGGGCTTTCTGAGGTGGCCCTTCTCTCCCCACTCCTGGTAGCTCCCTACCCCATCAAGCAGTTTTCCCTGGCCAGCTCTGCCTCCCACACCCCTTCCCTTGTTCTGAGCCTTCCCCTTCCCTCTGGAGACTTTGCTCCTGAGACAACTTCCTAGCCACCCCATTCCACAGTGATCTCCACACTTGGCAGGAACTTTAAAAATTGTTTCATGGAGGCTTCTTTTATATCTCCTAGAATTCCTAGGACGGTACTGGGCAGAGAGTCGGCACTAAATAAAAACTTGTTAATTGAATTGGGAAGAAAATAAAAGAATTTTAAAAATAGAAAATGATCATAAAACCCAAGTGATGTTAGACAACTGAGTTGAACTTCCTCCCTCGCAGTCCACAGATACCATTTACTGACCGAGTACTTAAGCCCTGTTTTCCTTCGGTCATGTTAATTTGGTAGTAGCGTTCCCATGGCAAGGCATGAAAACAACCCCTTCAAAGAGTTAGACACAAAATTATTATTGGCTTATGTTTTCTATGTATGGGAGTGAGGTAATTTATATGATTCAACCCCAAGAAGTACAAAGGGGTATGAAGGAAAATTCTCCTTAGTGCCTTCCTTGCTAGACACGTAGTTCTGGGAATAGCCTTAACTCCTTCCTGCGTATCTTTACAGAGATTATATATAGACATTTATATATAACCATTTATGTACTATGTCTTTTGTTATCTGGAAAGTATTTTGTACATATCTTTACACTGGAAGGCGATTCTATAGCATACAATAAAATTAAATGTCTACGCATAAAATGACAAGAAAGATATTACAGTTTTGATAGTGTATTATTAACTAGTATTTTTTTTAAAAAAACACTTGGTATCTTGCTGAATATCCACGATGACCCACTATATAAGTCACCGTCCTGTGCAAGAATCTAAAGGTCATTCCTCACTACCACCACCACAGGGACAGTGTGAGGCTAGAACTAGAAAAGTATAATCTTCAGTCTTGGAATCTTCTTTTTGAGGTCTTCCTACCACACTGAATAGTGTATCAGGTGTATCACCTTTGCAGTTGCAAAGGAGAATTTTGTGTATAGATTTCCCTAGACCACAAGGAAGTGATGTCATTTTTGTTCAGATGGAGAGGAAAATGGAGAAACCTGTCAGTCTCCATAGCAAAAGTGTTTGCTGTAACTGTAATGCCCAACACTGAGGGATTTTGCTCTAAGGGTAGAGATGGTGTATGATAGTCACAGTTGCGGAACACCTACCCATTTGTCCTACATGTATTGGAAGGCAAGTGCTGCAATGAGAAAGATAAGTAAGGTGCATCCTTGTTGTTTGCATCTAGATATCCCCCAAATCCTCATGTGTTCAGAGGTCCAAACTTTGGAAGGTGATTGGATCATGGGGGAGGTATAGCTGACTTGTTACCTGATGGGGGTCTGGTCAGAAGCAGCATGTCACTGTGCATGGCCCAGAAGATTACATGTCCCTTCCAGTCTTCTTACTCGATTTTCTACTTCCTGTCTGCCGTGCTATGTGCACCTATCTTCTGTTATGACCCTCTGTTATGCTTCCTGCCTTGGAGCCAGACAACAGTGGTCTGAATTGTGAGCTAAACTTAGCATTTTAGTTGCAGGTGCTGGGTATTTTGTCCCAGTGATGAGAAAAGTGACTAAAGCAGAATTTGCTACTGAGTGAGGTTGTTGCCATGACACTACCTGACCATGTGGCCTTTGGAACTGCTTCATGGAAGAGTTTGGAAAAGTTTAGAGATGCCAGCTGGAAAAGCAGCCCTAAAGTGCTGTAAATTGAGCATGGTGGGGGACTCTGGTCAGAGTTCAATTGGAAATAAGTACTCCGTGGGCAATTGGACGAAAAACCATGTGTGTTACTCTGTGGCTGAAAAATTGTCTACACTTTGCTCATGTTGTAAGACTTTGCAGGAGACAGAGACAAAGGAAGGTGAATAATTAATCTGGCAGAGGAAATTTCAAGACTGACCAATATTTAGGCTGTGGCATGGTACTACTGGGGACTTCGAGTCAGGTCTACATTGAGAATCACAAGAAAATGGCACAGATGAGTGAAGTTTTCATTTCACCAGAAAGGAAAATTCTGTAAAGTTGCGACCTTAGGAGCAGAGAAAAACTTGGTTACTAAAAAGACTTGTATAAAAGATAAGACAAGTACTTTCATTGAAAAAATAAAAAGGATACCTTGGGGGCATATAAAGCACTGGCCAGGATCCATCCTTCACAAGCTTAATATTACAAAGGTAAAAGACTACTTTGAAAGGAGCGCCCCAGGGCACAGTGCTCCAGAATGGACTCCTAGGAAATTGGTTCCCTAGGATGTGGATCACAGTGTTCAGCCAACCAGGAACTCAGAGGCCTGTGCAGCCATGACTCAGGAGGGTCTGGCTATTGCTGGTGCAGACAGCAGACCTTGGTGTCATCCACATGGAGCTAGTTGTACAGGCATGCAGCATGCAAGAGTTGTGGGGTCAGGAAGTCTTCCCCCCAGATTTCAGAAGATGTCCATCCAAAAGCCTTCTGTGCTCAGAGGTCTCCTGCTTTGGCAGGTGGTTGGATTGTGGGGCATTATAGCTGACTTGCTGTTAAGAGGTGAAATCTGATCAGAAGAGGCAGGGCAGTGTGGGTGGGACCTAGAAGGTTCTATCTCCCTTCCTAGCTCCTTCCTTGACTCTTTTTCCTGTCCCCCATATGTGAGCAGCTGTCCTTGACACGACCTGGTGCTGTGTTGTCTTGCCTTGGAGCCAACTGACTATGGACATAAAACATGAACCAAAATAAATGCCTCCTCCTTTTACTTTCAAGCATAAGAAATCTTGTCTGAGTGATGAGAAACATGACTAAGACAGTCCCTGTTCTCAAGAACTCACTACATGAAGAAGTTAAGGTATAATTCCCATAGGCAAGGAGGAAACCTATGTGGGTGTTTATGGTCTAAGTGGATTGGTAATGCCTGGTTAATTGCTTCTTGAGTCTGAAAGGATGAATAAAA